ATGTGTATAAAATTAAATATTAGTTGAAAATACATATAAAAATATTAATTATATACAAAATTTCCGTCTTAAGTCACACCTTATAAAAGACTGGCTCGCTAAGGTTCGGAAAAGTTTAAAACTTGACATTGCCGTCAAGTCACGCATTATGTTATTTAGAATTTTGGTTAATATAAACCAATAAAGTTAATATAAAACCAATAAAATGAAATATTAATTAGTATCTTTTAAAAGAAATTAACTAGTTAATAAATAACAAAAATATAATGTTTAACTTATTAATGATTAAAGAGAGGATTAGTTGTACACTTGTATTAAAGCAAAACTCAAAAACCCATTTATTTCATCACGAATTGTTGAATTATCCAAACAAAAAATACATCGTCTCTAATGGTAAAACCATTATTTCTTAAATCAATTTTAAATATCTAACATCTCCATCAACCTCTCATTGGAGATGTTATAATAACAATAAAATATCTTTAAAATAATCGTGGTATGCTTTTTCCATGAAATGATGTGATATTGCAACAACATAATTTTCTGAAAATTAAATAATTTAACAAAATTATTTGCACAATAAATGACCGTTGAGTGACATTAATTTGTTCAAAAGACTACAGCATTAATTTTGGTGATCTCTAACCAAAAGGAAATTTGTCTTTAATTTTGTAGTAAAAAATAAAATAAAATGAAACATTCAAATCAATTTTGAAATAAGGGAAGAATGAGAACCCTATGATAGATATACCATAAATGCATAAACCGAAACATGGAAAATTTCATGGGCAAAAGCTAGGGGTATGCAAAAAGACCACAAAACTGAAAAACCGAGTCGATTCGGCCAATCCGAAACCGATAAAAACTGGAACCGAAATAAACCGAAAAAAAAAACGAAATCGAAAAAACCGACCATCCACGGGTCGGTTTCGATTTGGATGTTTCGATATCCACGGATACCCGAACCGAACCGTTATATATATATATATATATATATATATACTATATTATAAAGCATATATCTTCAAAGTCTTAATTACAAATTATAAAGCCTAATGTACAATGAAATTCAACATCTCTTAAAAAAATGTCTTAAAGACAACTTGTAGAGCATTGTGTACAAATTACCAATGCTTGATCAGTTAGGCTCCAAAAGCAGTCTTTCAAATTCGTTTTGATTTTTTTTGAAATCTTGATTACCTCGCTTGGTCTACCACAGGTCCATTCAAATCCTTCTCTACATTCAATATCCCAAGAAACCTTAAAACTTTCCTATCTAAATTGCTCCTTCTTTTCTTTTGGTCATCAGTCAGCCTGTGCTTCAAACCTTGTTCAACTAATGGAGTTTTTTATTTGCTTTTGTAGAAGTAATACGATGAAAACTTCCCTGCACCTGTTCTTCTTTCCTCTCTATCTGTACAAACCAAGATTAAAATAAAACACTATTTTTTCTTTCTTTGAGATCTAACAACTTCGTTTCTTTTTTACAGGTAACATTTTTTGCGAGTTCAGACAACCTCCACTCCTTCCCCTTATCCGACTCTACGGAGATTACTGCTACATCGTCACCCCATTGTGTGATTCTGTGATGGTGGTGTAAGATCTTGTATCCTCTCTCTCTCTCTCTCTCTCTCTCTCTCTCTCTCTCTCTCTCTCTCTCTCCCACATCACCAAATCATAAAAGGCATGGTAAGATCTATTATATTCTTCTTCGTTTGTTATGGCATGGATGAATGTTACGATGGGAGATCTTGGGTTTGTATGAAATTTTGTTATATCATCCATATTTTCATTTGTATTTCCTATTTCAAATTTCTTTGTATTCTGATTTTGTTCTGATAAACGATTTAGGTCATTCGACAGACTTTGGATTCGGATGAAGGTTATGAAGATAAATATAGATCTTGATGGAGGTTAAGAAGATAGATTTAAACACATCCAGATGCACAACATGATCTAGCGGAGAGGTAATAGACTCGAAATATGAAGAGGGGAAGAAGGGAAGCAGATATGTGTTCTCTCTTCTTTTTTCTCGGTTTATCTCTCTGTTGACATAAACACATACATAGATGTGAGCTTTTAATCTTTTTGACCTGGTACACTATTTTTTTGATCTGTGATTTTAGTCCCCTTTGACCTAAATTAGTGCATTTGTTTAAATGTCAAGACTTATGTGTGGTTCATGCATTTCAGGATCGGATGAAGAAGCAGATGGTGAAAAGAACAAAGATAATAAGTACCAGATAATCAGAGTAGGAATTTTTTTCATTCAAACTTAAGTTTTATACAAACCACGTTCACAAGTTTGTTTCCTTAACATCTGTTCTTTCAAGTTTTAAGGAAATAATAGAATTGAATATATTCATATGATCTCTTTTTTCAGTGAATGATTCTTGAAAGAGGATATTGTTGGAAGGGTAAATTCAAAATTGAGCTAACCATTAAATTTACCACCACTGATTGGAACTTTGAGCGATTTTAAAATTGTTGGAATAAAGGGTAATTTCATATCATGGTAAGAACATTTTGTAAGGCTCAAGTTTAATTTAGATTTCTTTTTATAAGTTTGTAATTTTTGCAAAAGGGCATATGCCTTATACTAATTGTAGGACCAAGTTGCGACCTACTATTTTTGGCTTACCCGTGCATTGTTTTTCAAATATGCATTAGCTTTTTCACAAGAATATCAAATTTGCATAAGATGAGTTTGGTGAGTTAGACATTTTCTAACATGTTTAAGTTCTGAAAATTTATTTAAATTTCGTATCTAATTTGTAAGTTAAAGAGGTTTTGATGTTGATCAATAAACAAAGGATAAAATATTTAGGTAAATATTTAGAGGTTAAACTTGACTTTTCCCATAATTCATGGCCTATATAAATTTTTGTTTGGTTTTGAAGGTGAATAGGACATTCAAATTGCAGAAGAGCATGTTTAATTTTTGGTTTTAACACAGGCTGCCATGGGCTGAGTTCTGGAGGATTCAACAAATATGATCATTGTTGCTTCAAAGGGTATTTTTAAATTAAATGGTTTTATAATGATTTTGTAATATTTAACGTTGCTATAGGACGGTGGCACTATTCATTTTGCGTTGTTTTGCCTATTTTTGTGGTTTACTTTCATCTGAATAGTCTTTGGATTGTATCGACTGCTTTTTCTATGCAATGTATTCTGCTTTTAAAGCTATCTCATAATGATTAAATGGCACAATAATGTAGACATATGTGGAGAGCTTCATGTGGTTTTTACCCTGTAAAATGACAGTTGAAGAATAATGTGATTGGTTTATCATGAGTTTTTAGTAAATAGGACTTTGATTTAGTGTTTAGCGATTTGTCATAAGCATTATGAAATTGATGGAAACAAATATAATCTGTATGAGAAATTTATATTCCACATAAAATAAGGATGAGATACTGTAATAACTAAAAGATTTATCCTGATTATGTTACGTCATCTTAGTAAAAAATCTTTTTTTAACCTAAAAGTTTTTTCTCTTAAAAACATTATTATATTTTTATTTGTAACAAAAAACAGACATAATTTACTTTTTAACCTAAAACTGCAATATAATTTATTTTTTTAATACAAATCAACAACATACTTTTCTTGAAAGAAACTAATCACCACCATAAACAATTCGCTAAATGAATCACTTTGCTATCTTTAGCTGATAAAATTAAGTAGTTTTTTTAATACGATGTTTTCATATTGAACTAATCGTTGAAAGAAAAAACCATTTATTGAAATAAACTATAAAAAAATCATTTATTATATTTAATCATCATATTTGTTCTTTTTAAAAATGCATAATCCAATATATTTTGTATATTATGATTTAACAATAAAGGAGTAGGTATATTTTTAAACTTAAAAGAACAAAATGTTTTAAAAGAACAATGAACTTTCATATATAATATAAAATATTCAAATATTTTTGTTTGAAACAAGAAATAACCTGCTTTTGATTTCTAACATAATATTAATTTTTTTTATCCATAATAGCAACATCTGTTTACTTATATTCTCAAAGAGTTTACCGATACAAAACTCATCGTCAAATAAAACTATTTGTCATCGTTGTATTTACGTACTTAGCTAGAAACTATTTGTCCAAATGAACTATCTGCCACAAAACAATCATCAAAAAGATTGAATTGAAGTATCTGACACGTACTAAAAAGAAACTAATAGCCGCATGAAAATATCTGCCGAAAAGAACTATTTTACGTCGCCGCATCGCGCGGGTACCCTACTAGTATATATATATATATATATATATATATATATATATATATATATATATATATATATATATATATAAAAGTAACTAGATATACTTAATAAAATAATTAACTGTATGATATATGTTTTCTCATCTCACGCGCTCGATATATGTCTCTGGCATTTGTCTATTAGAACTCTAGATAATTATCCCTTGTATCAGCTTCATAAATTGTGTGTCTAGGTATTTCTCTATAAACTGGATGATATATGTTTTCTGTGTGTGCATTGTTATTGCTGAAATTGTATAGTTATTATATAAATTATACTTTATAATTTGAACATCAACAAGAGATCTTATTACTAAGATGACATATTGGTAGTTTGTATTTTTTATTATGGTTCCGAATTTTTATATTTAACGGATACCCGTGAATCGAACCGTGGTTACCCGCTTTCAAACGGTTCGGTTTGGTTTGGTTTTTGCACGATTTGGTTCGGTTTCGGTTAATGCACGTCAAATATCCGCCCCCGTGGTCACGGTTCAAAATTTTATCAATATCCGAGCCAAACTGCCCCGTGAACAACATTAGCAAAAGTATGGCATCTTATGGCATGCATTATGTTTGCCTACAAGTATTTTTGCACGGGGTGATACTACTGTAGTAAAATTATTATTATTTTAACTGCAAGGATGGATGATTTTCAGCTATATAAATGATGGAGATGCAGGCTCAAAAATTCACAACTTGGATCCCAATTCTTTAGTAGAAATGGGAACGAAAGTGAAGATGTCTCAAATGAGCAGCCTTCTAGTTAGTCTTGCGGTGGTTATTATTTCATCATACCTGCCATCGTTTAGCACAGCCACCTATCCCTACTCATCTCCACCACCTCCTAAGCAGGAATATGCTTACAACTCACCACCACCACGACCCCCAAACGAACCTTATAAGTCACCACCACCTCCTCCTCCGGTTCACAATTCTCCACCACCTCCACCACCAAAGGGACATTATGTATACAAGTCACCACCACCTCCTCCTCCTCCTCAGGTTTACAAGTCTCCACATTCATCTCCACCAAAGAAACATCATGTACACAAGTCACCACCACCTCCTCCTTGGGTTGACAAGTCTCCACCTCCACCTCCACCAAAAAAACCTTATGTATATAAGTCACCACCACCTCCTCCACCAAAGAAACATCATGTACACAAGTCACCACCACCTCCTCCTCCGGTTCACAAGTCTCCACCTCCACCTCCACCAAAAAAACCTTATGTATATAAGTCACCACCACCTCCTCCACCAAAGAAACATCATGTATACAAGTCACCACCACCTCCTCCTCCGGTTCACAAGTCTTCACCTCCACCTCCACCAAAAAAACCTTATGTATATAAGTCACCACCACCTCCTCCACCAAAGAAACATCATGTATACAAGTCACCACCACCTCCTCCTCCGGTTCACAAGTCTCCACCACCACCACCACCAAAGAAACCATACATATACAAGTCCCCACCGCCTCCACCACCGAAGAAACATCATGTTTACAAGTCACCGCCTCCTCCTCATCCGGTTCACAAGTCTCCACCACCTCCTCCACCAAAGGAACCATATGTATACAAGTCACCACCGCCTCCTCCACCAAAGAAGCATCATGTATACAAGTCACCATCTCCTCCACCTCCAATTCCGAAGTCACCACCACCACCACCAAAGAAACCTTATGTATACAAGTCACCACCGCCTCCTCCACCAAAGAAACACTATGTACACAAGTCTCCTCCTCCCTCTCCTGTGTACAAGTCCCCATCACCACCTCCACCTAAAAAACCGTCTGGGTACAAGTCTCCACCACCACATTATATCTACAGTTCACCACCTCCCCCTCATTTTTAAGCAACTACCACCGTGTTTATGGTAATCATTTTTTTGCTTCAATATTATTTAAGTGGACATAATCTTTTTAGAATTCTGTTTATACTAATTCACTGCATTTTCACATGTCTTTCAATTCCTTCAGGGTAATAGAAATAAACAAAGTATAGTTATATTTGGACCTTCAAGAGGACGAATATTATTATACCCTGAGGAAAGAGTAATGATCTTCGAAGTTGATCCACAAGTGCTTGTATTTCGTTTATGTATTTAATAAATAGTTGTTTGTCATGTTTCTGTTTTCATTTACCCCATTTCTAGGTGGTTGATGATAATGAAAACATTTAAAACAGTTACTCACATTTATCCGTTCATTATTCCTATTTGCAGTATGTTGATTTTGATTCATAGTTAATTAAATGGTAATGTTTACCCGTTAGTTAAATGCATTTAATATCTTACTATTGGTTTCATGTTGAATTTACTTAAATTTAGACATGATCGAGTATAAAATAAATTTTAATTAGAATTTGGAAAAAATATAACAACCTATAAATAGTTGTATGTATGCCGTATAAAAAAAAAGATGTTTGCTAGGTGCAGGCCTATGAAAGGGTGAGGCAAAAAAGGTAAAAATGTTTTATTAACTTTTCAACAAAGCATGTATGCTCTATATATGTGTGTACTCGTAGATTGTGTGCATGTGTGTGCTACGTATGTGTGTGCAAACGAGTAGTTTCTCAATATATAAGTTTCCAAAACTTGAAATAATGAAGATATATAAAGGTAGATTATTTACTACTTTTCAGCAAAGGGTTAAATTCCATAACACCACAATTCTTTTTCCTTGAATTTATCTGATTTTTTACACAGCTAAATATACCAAAAAAAGAACAAGCATGGCGAAACCAAATATAAACTATACTTGTTTTTTTTTTATTATTATAACCCCAAAGAAAGGAAAAGAAAAGTATAAAGTCATTCTTAGCATTTACTTTTAAGTCCAAATATAAACGAGTCTCTATGCAACAACTCGAGTTTTTGGATCCTTCGTTGCAAGCATTCCATCTGTATGTCACATGGATCTTGTAAATCAGCCCCGTCATTCCGTGGAATGTGTCCACCACTGCAACGACCACAAGCTGCTCCACGCCAACGAACAATTTGTTCAACAATTCATTTGTTTTCTCTGATTCCAAATGATGTCCAGACGATCGGATTGAATGACAAAATACACCAATAAGAACACAAAGAAAAAAAACAACTCTAAATCAGGATTCTAAAAAAAATGAAACGAAATACTTATAAAGAGGAGAATGTCACACTCCCGGTCGAGGCAGCGGAACATGCCGAACTGTGCGACTAAATTAATGGATTACAGGTAAACTGAATATATAACACAAGTACAACAGTAAACAAAATAGCATCTGTATTCCATCTTGATATTTGAATACATGGTTCTTACAGATAATCGTATAATATATGAATTGCCTTAAACAGGTAGGCGGACATAACAAAAAGTAGTAAACTAGATTGCCTGAAATCGATGACTATTCGTCGTCTGATTTTGCTTGATTACTGATTCCCTAAGTATACATGTCGTTTTGAGGGTCAACACAAGGTTGGTGAGAGTTACAAGTTTTCTGCCGACAGCAATAATGATACTTTTAAAAGCGTTCAAAAAATATTTTCTTTATAAGTAAACCATATTCAAAAAAACTTTGAAAAACCAAAAGGTGTCTCGGTATAACTAAATTCAGGCTTAAAACCGTTTTGGAAGAATCAAGTGTACAATTAAGTTGTAGTAAGAGAGATAGAAATTCGAGTTAATGTTTATAGTGAGTTCTATAACCGAGCTATGCAACTGAATGTACCATGCTACAATGCTTCATTGGACGTCGTAGTAACGATTGTAGACACTTATCACCCACTTCGATTAATTCTATGCGACTGAATGTACCATGCTACAACGCTTCATTGGACGTCGTAGTAACGATTGTAGACACTTATCACCCGCTTCGATTGATTGGTCGAGGTTATAGCTAGCAACCACATGTGGGCATGTCAACCCTTATAGATCTATACATATGTATCTCGCTCCAAAGATTAACGGTTATAGTAGCGTGGGTACTCTAAATGTTTAGTCTTTAGCTAATGAATAGTGTCTCACTATAAAGCCCTTAACTAAGGTATGAATAGCACTCACCCTAACTTAAAAGTGGATAAGTTCTCTGCAAAATGAATCGTATAGAGTTTATAAAATGCCGAGAATAATTGGTATTCATGTGAAGTATAAGGCACTAGCGTTTATAAACTAAGCATGTTTCTTGTATAAAGTTTGTACATATGCATGTGTAGTTCAAATCCTTAGAAATAGTACAAAGTTTTATGACATGCATTTTATGACAAACAATGTCACGTAAAAATCATAGGGTTTTGTAGTAAAAATGCCATATGTTATTTCTATAAGCTGTATCGTTTTGACAATATAACATATATAGATATTGGGGTTTAAAACTAGTTCATGTGTTTGTAACATATAAAAGTTAAACCAATATTTTATAAACTAGTTATAGTTTTTTTATATAAAATAATAATATTTTACGTGTATTTTTGTATTATCTAGCACAAGTAGTACATGTATTCTCCTCCGAAAATATATAAAAGAGGGGTCGTAACACTCACCTTAAAGTGCGGTTGTCGGGTCATTTTCTGTATTTGATGCGAGAAACTAGGATGTGTTACCGTGAACACGAAACTCCGAGATTAATTTAGATTCCTAGGAAATTTTAACATAAATTAATATTTGCAGGGTTATTTGGTAATCTAACTAAAACATAGGACCCATTTATTAGTTTCATTAAACTCAAATAAATTAATAATTCTCAAAAATGAGACAAAATAAATTATTAAATTTAGTTTAGTTTAGGATTTATTTTGAAATGTGTTTTCTACATACGGGTGGGTTTTGAATAATTTAATTGATGTTTGAAGGTTTTGGGTCTAGTTTATAAAGAGATTTTTAAGATGGGGTAGGAACTTTAACATTTGAATCAAAGTTTGGGAGGTTTGGACCAGGTTTGTAAGGATTTTGAAAGGATGGTGGAATTTGGACTTACGAAAAGGAAGTTTAGGGGAATTGGGGACTTGTTTGCAGAATTTTTCGAGGGGAGCGAGTATTATAGATATTTTAAAATGATGTTTGGGAACAGGAGGGGTTATCCTCCTATTGGTTGTCGTTCATGCATAACTCCAACAAAAAAAACAGGTCCCATTTTAGCTTCCATAACCGAAGGAAACAACGAAGGAGGGGTACGAAAGTCTTAAGGTGGTGATGATGAAGGTTGATAATGGTGGTGATCGGCGGTGGAGAGGGCTGGCAAGAGGAACTCCCGTGTGGACAGGGAAGTGACGTGGTTTGTTGCCTCGTCTCTTCTATGTTTTTCTGGCAATAAACCGACGAGAGGGAGAGAGGGGAAGGTGTAGAAGGCTAAGCAGTAGCACAACAGCACAACAGATGGTGGTGGTGATGATCTTCGACGGCAATAGAAAGTCGGGAGACGACGAGGTGTTGCTGTTCCGTTTTCCTTTTTCCTTGGGTAGAATCTGATGGGGGGGGGGGGGAGGGGAGAGTGGAGAGGGTCTGTGTTAACGTATCCTACCAAGAATATGTCAATAACGGAACTGTCAGACGGTTAGAGCAAAGGTTGGGGTACGCCCAACGTCGGGCTCCCGCTTTTGCCCTCGTCCTTGCGATCCTAAACTCATTCCTTGGCGCCCAAGCGTCAAATCCGGTGTCGCGACAAAATAATACTAGCCGCCCCCTAAGTGACAGGTGTACCACTTAGAACGTCGCCCCTGCCAGCCCTGCACCAATGGAAGGCAACTACGCGCGAAGCATGCTCTACCAATCAAGGACTGTCTTTCCCTGCCACTTCTGAAAAGGTAAAAGATTCTGTCGGGGGTTTGTCCCCCTGACCACAGGCATAAAAAGGTCCCTTCTCCTCCAAGAGAAGGGACTGATGAACAAAAAAATCTTCAAGTCCATTAAAAAAAACCTTCCCTTTCTCTCTATGAAATCATCTGACTTGGTCGTCAGAGCTTCGTTCCGGGACCATAGAAGGACCCAGCAAGGATCACCCCGTAAGATAAAAATGTTATGTTAAGAAGACAGAGGAAACCACTCTCGAATCATGCGAAGAAACCGAACACCTTATATGTCACACTAATACCTAATAAAATAATATAACTTAGTGAGTTAGTGATTACACTGCTCACACTATGTGTTAGGCTTATCGCCTCTTTTCTTGCAACTAGTAACAGTAAACCAGGTCACAAAAATTCATTGAAGAGTAGTAACTTCAAATTCAAAAGTGTATTTCGTATAGACTTCCTTTATGGATGGTTATCAGAACACTATAGAAGTCGGATCATGACACTCTCGGAAACCGGTATAACTTAGCTTAAATAACACTCGTGCAATACCCACTTCCATAGAATACACTTCAGGAATGTTGTCAGAAACATTCAGGATAGTCTATCACGGCGTGGAATTTATAAGTATATATATTGGTGAAATACAACTACCAATGACCATCGTTACTCACAAGATCGTTTCTCGTCATACCACATAACCATGTCTTCACAAGGAAGTAACCAACCAACTGGCAAGACACCAATTCTGCAGATAGACTCCGCTACATTTCAGGCCGCGGTCACAGCCGTCGTGACAGCTGTCATGGCGCAATTCAATGCTAACAACCCAAACGAGAATGGAAACAATTTCGACAATTCAAACCGTAGTATCACACAAGGAAACCAACAAGGGCCTAGCCATAATGATATTTCAGCTCATAAACCTAAGAACCACAAACGAAAGTTTTGTAGCAAAAAGGAGCGCAAGTTATCTCAAAGTCTTTCCAAAAGACAACAACCTGTGGCAACTCCTACAGCCACAACATCTGCCACTCCAGTACCAATGCTAGTACGACAGTATGCTGGAAACCTACCGGATTGCAAGA